AGAATCCAGAAATCAACCCATACACCTACAGCCATCTGATCTTTGACAAAGGCACCAAGTCTACAAACTGGGGAAGAGACTGCCTCTTCAGCAAATGGTGCTGGGAAAATTGGATATTCATATGCAAGAGAATGAAATTACATCTCTGCCTCTCACCATATACCAAAACCAACTCAAAATGGATTAAAGAATTAAATATACATCCTAAAACAATAAAACTCCTTAAATAAAACATAGGAGAAACACTCCAGGAAGTAGAATTGGGTACAGACTTCATGAATATGACCTCAAAAGCACAGGCAACCAAAGGAAAAATAAACAAATGGAATTATATCAAGTTAAAAAGCTTCTGCACAGCAAAAGAAACAATTAACAGAGCAAAAAGACAAACAACAGAGCAGGAGAAAATATTTGCAAAATACACATCTGACAAAGGATTAATATCCAGAATATACAAGGAACTCAAACAACTTTACAGCACAAAAACAAGTAACCCAATTGAAAAATGGGCCAAGGAGCTGAATAGGCATTTCTCAAAGGAAGATATACAAATGGCCAACAGGCACATGAAAAAAATGCTCAACATCACTCAGCATTTGGGAAATGCAAATCAAAACCACTTTGAGATACCATCTCACTCCAGTTAAGATGGCCAATATACAAAAGACTGAGAATGATAAATGCTAGCAACGTTGTGGAGAAAAAGGAACTCTCATACACTGTTGGTGGGACTGTAAAATGGTGCAGCCTCTATGGAAAATGGTATGGAGGTTACTCAAACAATTGAAGATAGATCTACCATATGACCTAGCTATCCCACTGCTGGGAATATACCCAAAGGAATGGAAATCATGTCGAAGGGATACCTGTTCTCCAATGTTCATCGCAGCACTCTTTACAATAGCCAAGAGTTGGACCAGCCCAAATGTCCATCATCAGATGAGTGGATAAGGAAAATGTGGTATAGCTACACAATGGAATACTACTCAGCTATATAAAAGAATGAAATTCTGCCATTCACAGCAACATAGATGGACTTAGAGAAAATTATATTAAGTGAAATAAGTCAGGCACAGAAAGAGAAATACCATGGGCTGGCTGTGGCTCAGTCGGGAGAGTGCAGTGCTGATAACACCAAGGCCACGGGTTCAGATCCCATATAAGGATGGCCGGTTTGCTCACTGGGTGAGCGTGGTGCTGACAACACCAAGTCAAGGGTTAAGATCCCCTTACCGGTCATCTTAAAAAAAAAAAGAAAGAAAGAAAGAGAAATACCACGTTCTCACTTATTTGTGGAAGCTAAAAATAAATAAACACACAAATAAATAAAGAGTGTGGGGAAGAAGACACAACAATCACAACAATTCCTTGAACTTGTTAAGACAAGTGAACAGATATGAGGTCGATGGGGGGAAGGGAGAGAGGGAGGGAGGAAAGAAGAATTGGTAAAGGGACACGAAAATCAACTACATTGTATATTGATAACTTAAAAATTTTTTTAAATGCTGGTCATGGGCATGGTTTGGAGGGTTTGAAAAGGGGAACATTACATATATAAGGTATTTTGATATTGCACAACAGCAATGATTAGAATTTTACAGTACAACTTCCCAAGGAAAAGATTGCTTGGAGGGTTTGAGGAAGAACTGTTGGCATCAGTGGCAGTGAACTCCTTCCCCTCTCCCAGAAAACAACCCCCACCCTGAAAGAAAAAATATATAAATAGAAAAAGGTCAGCAAAGCACGTATTTAAAATTCTCAGGTTAATGGTGTTGTACCTTGTTTGGGAAAGGAAGAAACTAAGGAAAGACTGGGAGGCAAAAGGAAGGGAGAAGCCAGAGTATTTCTTCCCCTTCTCTCAGCCTTGGCTAGCATCTCAGACAGAAGTTCTTTGGCTCCAGCTTGCCTTGGATAGGCCCTCCAAAGTTCTAGCTTCTAAATTATCCTGGCCCCAAGCTTCCTCTCCTTTTTTCAGCCTAGGAATGATAGAAGACTCCTGCTAATGCTAATTTCTGGATTGCCTCACCTTCCCCTGAATGGCTTCTCAGGTCTTCCATCATTTTTAAAACTAGCCAGTTCTCTGGATTAAATTCCCTCTGGTTTAAATGTTACAGAGATTTCTGTTTTCCTGATTGGAACCTAAATCTGGCAGCTAAACCAAATACGAATTTGCTGGACTAGCTGCTTAGCTCAGTTGAGTAGAGTGTGGTGTTCATAACACCAAGGTCCAGGGTTTGATCCCTGTGATGCCTACCCACCCCCTGCAAATTATACATATATTTTGCTGTGTGTGTGTGTATATATACATATATATGTACATATGTGTATATATACATATATATGTGTATATGTGTGTGTGTGTGTGTGTGTATACACAATTTGCTGTATTGAGAGCAAAGACCTGGCTCCAAAATTGCTAAGTTCAAAGTTCACTGCTATTGGTGTGAGTCCAGACTGAGTTATACAGAGGAGTGAAGAGACATAATTAATTTCCCTCTCCTCCCAAGAGGACACAGAAGAGAAAATGCATTTGGGAAAAAGAGAAAAAAGAACATCATGGATTTCCTGCTCCTCCATCCTCAGGATAATATGAGGAAGGGGCTGCTGACAAGGATGAGAACATGACTGAATCCCCCTTAAAATCTGGGATGAGTCAAAAAGGAGAATGGACCTGTATAAAAACCTGAAACACTGAAAAAGATTATGGTACTCCCTTCCTCCAAAAAATAAATAAAAATGAAATCAATCCTAAACTAAAATAAGTGTAAAGAGGTACAGTAAATTCAGATGTTTTTCCATAGTAACTACTTTCATGTTTTCCTCCAAATTTTCCTTCCAATATTTTCCTCCAAATCTAATTGATGCACCTGCTTTGCTGGTGCCTTAGGGCACACTTAGTTTGCTTATTGAGCCACCCAGGGATGGAACTGTGCAGCCTGCCCTGTCCAGACCCCCATAGTCAGCCTCTCAGGAACAGGTACATATGCTTCTATGCTGGGGGCTGAGTCTCCTGAGGACCCAAGAGTGGCAAAAAGAGATTCTTAAGTTTCACACGGGCCCATAAGGGGCCGTGTGCCTTAGAAGGGAAGGTGTGCTGGGGTGTTGGCCCTAAGGGGTTTCTCTAGAAGAGCAAGAGGATATGTAGGGTCACCTGCTGGTGGTGAGGTATACAGTTAGTAAGAGAGAGAACTGGGATGGGCCATTTCAGAGTTACATCTACATTCAATTGAAAACATTATTCAGATTAATCATTCACTTCATTCAACCAATTTAAAATAATTTGGGGCTGTTTTAATAAAATTTATCTTCAAAAAACAAATGTTAGCCACCAATAAATACTTTTTTTAAAAAAGAGGCTATAAATTTGAAATAACAATGAAGGTCTCTTTTTAAACCCATAAAAAGATTTTTAGGGGCGGCCCGGTGGCGCACTCGGTAGAGGGCAGCACTTGGGAGCGTGGCGGCACTCCTGCCGAGGGTTCGGATCCCATATGGAGACCGGTCCGCTCACTGGTTGAGGGCGGTGCGGGCGCGACACCGAGGGTTGCGATCCCATTACCGGTCACGAAAAAAGACAAAAAGGAAAAAAAAAAAAGATTTTTAGGAATGATAATAATACCTAATGCTAGCAAATATACAGGAAAATGATACCCTCATACACTGCTAGTGAGAGCACAATCCAGTACAATTTTAGAGAGCAACGTGGCGATCTCTAGCAAAGGCCTTTAAAACAGTTTTACTATTGGGCCGGCCCAGTGGCGCACTGCTACAGTGCGCCGCTTGGGAGCATGGTGGCGCTCCCGCCGAGGGTTCGGATCCCACATACAGACCGGTTCCCGCTCACTGGCTGAGCGAGGTGCGGGTGCAGCACCGAGGGTTGCGATCCCGTTGCCGGTCCCGGTCCGGTACGGGCGCGACACTGAGGGTTGCGATCCGTTGCCGGACACGAAAAAAGACAAAAAGGAAAAAAAAAACAAAAAACAGTTTTACTATTAACCCATCAATTCCACTTCAAGAATTTAGCTAAAGAAAACAGTCATAGATTTAGCCTCAAAGACACTCATCACAGCACTGCTTATAATAATGAAAAATTAGGAATGATCTAAATTTCTAATAGGGCATTGTATAATTAAATTATGTTACACCCATACATTAAAATCCAAGCAGCCCATAAAACATTGTTACAGAGATGCATGATATCAAAGATTGTTCACCATACTTCATTAAGTAAAAATAGAAGGATGAAAAATGTATGGAACAAGCTCACTTTCATTAAAAATATACACACACACACATATGTAGTAGAAATCTGGAAGAGTATAAATCAAAATATTAAAAGTGGCTAACCCTTGAGCATAGTATGGGTTAGAATACTATTTTCAATTATTATATATTTTCAATTATTATATATTACTTTTGTAAGAAGAAAAATTATATGAGGATTTTTTTAAAGGTATCACATGGATGAAAGAATAACAAGAGTTGTGTTTGTTTGGGGTTCTTTTGGCAGCTGGACAGTAAGGGGATCCAAGCCCTTGATCTTGGTGTTACAAGGTTGTGCTCTAACCAACTGAGCTAACTGACCAGCTCAAGAGTTTTTTAAAATATCACTGAAATAGGTCTGTAGTTTCCATTTAACAAGTATAGCAGCAAAAATTGATAGAGCTTTTATGTATAAATTACCAATGTATTTGTTTATAAAGATATATTACCTTAAAACATAACTTTATATCTCTTTTATACCACCCCACCAGTTAGTATTCAGCTCAATAAATACTTATTGAGTAGAATTGAATAATCTAGTGTAAAAATTTTATAAATGATCTAGATGAGGAAGAACACAGTAAAGCTGCTAGTTTACAGATGACAGTAAGTTCCTCCAGTTATATCTCAATCACATTTGACACTGACTGTCACCTCCCTAAAACTCTTATCATGGCATCTATGATAGCTCATACTCCTGGTCATCATTCCATTTCAGTGTCCAACTGATTTCTCACCATGGTGAAGATCCTCTTCCTCTTCTGAACTGCGGGCTTTTCCCTTAAGCTCTAGTTCTCAGATGTCTACATTCTTCCTTCCAGACTCATTTCCTTGGTGAGTTCATCCACAATCATGGCATCACCTATCACTTCAATGAACATAACTGCTGGTAGAAAATGACCTTGTTTCACTGGGTGTGGCTTGAGTGCTGTTGTTGCTACATATATAAGGTATTTTGATATTGCACAACAGCAATGATTAGAATTTTACAGTACAACTTCCCAAGGAAAAGATTGCTTGGAGGGTTTGAGGAAGAACTGTTGGCATCAGTGGCAGTGAACTCCTTCCCCTCTCCCAGAAAACAACCCCCACCCTGAAAGAAAAAATATATAAATAGAAAAAGGTCAGCAAAGCACGTATTTAAAATTCTCAGGTTAATGGTGTTGTACCTTGTTTGGGAAAGGAAGAAACTAAGGAAATGTAATAATTGGCCAATGGAAGGTTAAAAAAAAAAGTCCTAGATTAGAATTTATAAAACATACTTATGTGAATGAAGTACACATTTTTACTAATCACATCTTTGATTTTTATTTTTATGGCAGTCAGTCCTAGTCAGCTGATCACATTACTTTTATGGACTCAGCTCCAAGGCAAATCTTCTAACTATCTCCCTCCCCTTCCGATCAGATTTCTGCCCTTAAACTTCTCCTGTACAGAAATTACAAATCACCACTGGGATTGCAGATTCATTATTTGGACTCAGGGTATATTAATCACAGGTTCTGAAATAAGCTAAGAGCTAGAGACATCCCTCAGACCCAATACGCAGAACATAGAAATTACAGACTTTTGGAATAAAAGGCAGAAGTTTGGGGCTAATTATTAGTCAACACTCACTGAAGGGTAGAACCAGCCTTAATATCTACCTAACAAATATCTTCAGACAAGCAAAACAGGAGAGAAGAAGATGGTTTGGGAGAAGAACAGAACTTCCAAGGCTCAGTACTACTAACACCTCCAAAAGGGGTAAAGAAGCATCTACACAGTCTCTAGGCCTATAAATCTGGGCCGTGCTCTGTGGTGACTGCTTATTAGAGCAATGCATAAGGACGCAGGTTCTGGCGCTTGTCAGCCAAGCAGAGGGGTTATTATAAATATTTATATATGGAAGTTACTCCTCAGAAAAGGAAAGCTAGCCAACTTAAACCAAGATCAAGAGCCAAGGGGAATCAATTGAACATGTGAATCAGAGTGGCAAAGACAGAAAAAAGAGTGAGGATAAGTTTCTAAGAAATGACAGGAGGGCAACAAAATTTGTGGGATGATTCAGGTCCATAGCCTGGGATTTGCTCCAACCCTACTGAACCTTACCAGATTAAAGACAAATCCTTGAAGATAATACACCAGTGTAGGCACCTTCTCCTTCCTCTGAACCCCTGCTACTTCCTGGAGTCCAGGTTTTCTTCAGATTTGACAGGCAAAAGGCTGCAGTGTTATTAGGGAGATACTTAGGGTAGGCTGGGAGCTCCAGGTGTGCTCTGATCCTCTGTAGCCCATCCACTCCATCGAGTATTATAGGTAAATTTGGCACCACTAGGAGTCCAGCCAGACACTCTGACATTTCTCAACAGCTGACTGTAGTGGTACATCTTCTGTGACACCACACTATCCAACCACCTGACAGCTCTTTCTCAGTTTATCAACTCTTCCTCTCTACCTGCCCTTTGGTTGATTGGTCTTCCTCAATGCTCTGTTCTAGATCTTCTTTTTTCTCCACTCAACTCTCTTCCTGCGATTATATCTATGCTCATAGCTCAAATCACCATTTCTACATACCAAGAAAGAACCACTAGTCCATTTCTGTCAGCTCTAAAATTATATATCCAATTGCCTACCGGATCTCTTCACTCAATGTTGCACTTCAAACTCAACATCCAAAACCAGACACATGATTTCCCCCCCAAACATCTTCCCACCCCATTTTAGTTGGTAAAGGACACCACCATCCATCTAGATGCTCAAGCCAATAACCTCAGTCATCCATGAATTCTCCATCTCCCTCACTCTACCACAGCAGAGCTGGAGCATGTGAATGGTTAGTTATAGGAGATATTTGGTCCTCTGGCTATCAGGAAAGAGCTCTAGAATTTCTCTGAAGATAGTATTAGCAAAAACACATTCTTGAAAACAAAAAGCAAACTATTCTGTTTAAATCAAAGAAGAGAACATTAAGTCTGGTCATTATACCTCAATAGTAACAGCAGCATGAAATCACTTAATATGATTCTCCATCCTGTACTCATTGCATTATAGTTAGCTGTAGGCAGCCCAAGATTCCCCCTTTCCTACGCAAAGTGACCTTTGTGGAAAGAGGTTCCTGCTCTATCATATAATAAGATTAAGTAGATTACCAATGATCTGAAATCCTTCCTTCAGTTGAAGATTTGGAGAATCGCAAATAGAGTTAGTAACATTTTCTTGACTTTACCACAAGGGCACTTCAAAAAGTTCATGGAAAGATTTGTATTATCTTTTAATTCTATTTTTCTATGAACTTTTTGAAGCACTTCGTAGAATGGATGCTCACTAAAACACATCTTCTCCCTCTTAAATATAAATTCCACAGGAGGAAGGATATTCTCTAGTGTTTTCATTACTATGTCTCCAGTGCCTGACTCATTGTAGGTAGCCAAAATATATTTTACTAATGAGCAATTAATACTTAATAAATATTAGATGAAGATAACCACATACAGAACAAAAGTTTAATATTTCTATTCTGCAATCTGTCTGTTCTTGAGAGGGGTAGTTAGTCATCCTTATTCCAGATTCTTCCTTTCCTACTGTGTTGGTTGTGCAGTGAGAACAAAATTAAGGAGGTGATCAAAATGGATCAAAAACATTAAAAGACCTAAACATAAAAGCTAATACTATAAAACTTCTAGTTATAGGAGAAAATCTTTGTGACCTTGGTGTAAGCAAAGATTTCTTATGCAGGGCACAAAAAGCACTAACCATACAAGAAAAAAGTAAGAAATAAGACTTCATCAAAATTTAAAACTTCTGCTCTTTGAAAGACACCATTAAAAAATAAAAAGGCAAGCCACCAATCGGAGGGAAATATTTTTAATGCATATACTCACAAAGGACTTGTATCTAGAATATATAAAGAACTCTTAAAACTCAATAACAAGAAGCCAAACATTCCAATTTTAAAAATGGCAAACAATTTGAATAGACTTCACCAAATATGAGATACTGGTGGCAAACAGACTTATGAAAAGATGCTCAGTATCATTAATAATTAAGAAATTGCAAATTAAAACCACAACAAGATACCACTATACACCTACTAGAATATTTTTTTTTAAAACTGATAATACCAAGTGCTGACAAGGATGCAGAGCAACTGGAACTCTCACACAATGCTAGTAAGCGTAAGATTGTACAGTCTGTTTGGAAAACAATTTGGCAGTTTTTTTCTCTATCCAGTAAAACATTCACTTACCACAGGTCCTAAGATTTCATCCCTAGGTATTTCTCTAAGAAAAATGCAAACATATGTCCACAAAAAGACTTGCATATGAATGTTCACAGCACCTTCCAAAAAGTGGAAAGCAGCACAAATGTTCATCAACAGATGAATGCATAAACAAATTTTTCCTCAGATCCTTTCTCTCTATATCCAGAGGGAACCATGGTTGGCACCTGACCAATCAAATTATCTGCTGGGAGTTTACCCATTTCTTTAGCAGAGTGATACAAGAACCAAAGAAATGGTCAGCAGTGGAGCCAGGCAAGACAATTGAGCAGTTCCTGCTATGAAGACCTTCTCTATCTGTCAGTTCCAAGCCTTAGTTTTTCCTCTTATACTGTGAGTCATCGCCTCGGTGAAGAAATAAGTATTTTTAAGTCCCTCTTCCTTCCCTACCCCGCACTTTCTCAATCCCTCTCATCAGAGTTAATGTCAGTTATCAGTTTGATGTATTTTCTTTTAGACAATTTCTATACATCTTCTTGTTTTAAAAACTGCATGCATGTGGATATAAATAGAATTATATTACACACATTGTTATGCAACTTGGTTTTTAATGAGCTGTGACTTTCTATCTCTTTTGTACCTTCTCACTGTGCCTGATTAAAACTGTATACATGAAAATCCTGCCAAAGTTGGAGTCAAAGGGAAAGGAGGGACTCAGTCTCCCTATTACACAGCCCATTAATTACCTATAATAGAATGGATTTAGGCTCACAATCAGCTAAACAATGAAGATCCTGAAGAGTGGTAACAGTGTCAGGCTGAAAAGTTCTTATAGGCAACAGGGAGAAGGTTCTTGTGCAGGGAAACCTCAGGATGAAGACGGTATTTCAAAAAAGATTAAATGGCAACAGTTTACATATTATAGGTCAGAAGAAGGAGAGACTGGACAGCAAGGAGACTAGTTAAGTGGCTAATACAGAACAGTAGATCTAAAGAAATAAAATTATGGGTTATAGTGATGGCCAGTGAAATGGAGAGAATCTTTTACTGAATTATAAGAATATAAGACTAGAAGAGTGGAAGAAACAAATTATTGTAATTAGAAGAGCTGGATTTGAATCCTCATTCTGAAATTTACTAGCTGTGTGACCCATGGCAAGATACTTCCCTACTCCATATCTCAGTTTCCCTGCCAATAAAATGAAGATCTTAGAATATCAGAGCCTTAAACTTTTTTTTTCAGCAGAACCTTGTTTTTTTCTGTAAAAACAAAGGAAAAAATCTTCAAGCAAATCTAATTTGTAAAATAAGTAAAAGCAAGATTATTCTGGCTGAAGCATAGGTAAAAGGCTCAGAGCCCCAGCTATTTTTCATATAACCCCTCTCAGCCACTTCTCAGGCATTATTGAAAAATCTCCAGAGGTCTAAGGAACAAAATTTGAGAAATCTCTAAAGACCTTACTACCAATTCTAATATTCAATGACTCAAGGGGGTATACTTGGCAGAGGTGCTTAGAAAAATAGTAATGACTTTAATAGCTGCCACAGAATCATATAATAGAAAGAAAGGGTGACCTGACTTTTGCTAAGTTTGCCTGCTTCTCCTTACAGATCAAAACCAATTTAATGTTCAAAACCTCATCCAAACCTCTTGCAAATGGTAATCTAAACTCTAAACAATA